GCCCCCCCCCCCCCCCTCAGAAAATGACAGCTTAGTTTTCACTTGTTCTTTGACTCTGGAACATTTAAGAGAGCAGCTTTTGTGTTACGAAGAACTTAGCCTGCAACGGGTCAAAATGTTTCTAACACTGTGGATTCCTGTCTGAAATCTCTGGGTTTATTTTGTGAATTGTGTTTGCACACTGAGTAGTGCTAATGTTGCGTGGCACCCTGCAGCACCCTTGAAAAGATCTCGAGGCATCCCCAGGTGCCTCAGCACTGTAGTTAAGAAGATATTGAACTAGTTGTAACCAAAAGGATAATTTTTAATGCTTTAAAAAAAAAAAAAAGGGTTGCATGCCACAGGGACATGTAAAAATCAGAGAACTCAGCTCACAATTCAGCCTCTTGTGGGCTAAGATCAAGTGTAATTAAACATTGTACCTCCTGTAACCTAGCTGTGTTCCCCTCCTCACCCTCATCCCTCTTTTGTTAGTCCCTTGCTTGGGCAATCTGGATTTCCCTACCGGCTTTGTCATCTTTCTTTTTGGGTTCCCAATCCTAAACATTTACTAATAAAAATTTGCTGCACTGGTCTGATACCCAAGCCGAGATGGATTTAAAATGGCACTATGTAGTGGAGGGTTCACCCTGATCCAAATTCAGACAGGACTCCCTACAAGAGCCTCATAGTTAGCTTCCCATTGGCCAGCTTCTAGTGGGAGGATCTCGGCTATGCGCCAACATTATGGAAGTGGGCGACTCCTCCCTAGCTTGCTCGTGTGGCCTCTGGCCGAGGGCAAGTGAAATTCGTTGGCATCCAAACTGCATGTAGGATGCCTGCCAATGGATTTGGAGGTATCTGAAGCCTGGGGTGGAGTTTACTTGCCGGTAGTAGGGCCGCATATGGTTTTTGAACGACTGAAAGGATTCAGAACTGATCTGGCTAATTTGACTTGTAACACAAAAAAATTTCAAAAAAAAAAAAATCTCAGCTCATAACAGATGAAAGATGCACCACTTTAGCAGAGTAGGCATTTCTGTGGCTCCTTGGTTGAAAATCATTCTCTTGTGCATGTCATAAATAAGAAATGACATCTCTGCTGGCTTAGTATCTGAGCAATTAATAGTTTTACCCTTACTTTTCCACCCCCTTCCTTAGGTCATCTTCCCCACTTTGTCACTTCCCCCATTACAGATTTTTCAGGAAAGCTGAAATCTCTTCATTTCAGAATGCTGGGGCAGTTGGAGATCTGGTCTTATTGTGATAGGTGTGGGGATGGGAGTGAAGGTTTTTCTATGGGAGAAAAATCATCCTAGGATATATATTTTTTAGTCATCTTGCTCTTGTAAGTATCTAGTGCTGGACTTCTGGGGTTGGAGTTCAGGATTCTGGTATGGTAGGGTATATAAGAAAATGATTTTTGTATGATTGTACATGCTAAAGCAATAACTTGGTTAGCTGAAAGCAAATTGTTTTAGGAGGTTTACAGTGTCTATTTTGAATTGGCCCTGGAAGTCAGACATTTGATATGTGGGCCAATTGCACAATTATAATAAAATTGCAAGAGTTGACTCCCCCTTTCTCAGCTAATGTATTGAAATGCGCGTGGGAATTTTTCCAAGATTTTTAGTTTTATGTAAGAAAGAGCACATAACTGTCTTATTGTGAGATAACAGTACCCTTGCCCTGATTGCTTTTATTAGTTACTTCATAACATCTTCATGCCCTCTAGGCTGTTTAAAACCTAAATAACTTAAAAGCGCAGCATATTTATTTTGCAATAATAATGTAGGTTTATTTTTTAAACTGAGGATGTATTTGCTTGTTAAAATGAAGAATATGAAAATCCCAGGATGCTAATACTGCTATGTTTGGCTAGAAATGGCAATTGCAGATGCTAGCCTACTATCAGAACAAGGTGATGTGGTGTATGTTGTAATGATTCTTTTTCTGACTAAAGCAGCCTTTGTCTTGCAATCCAATTTTTGCTATGTGAACCCCAGAGCTCTTCTGAAGTCTTCTTATTCACTCTTCATATCTGCAGGTCTGACTGCTTATTTAAGTCTAAAGAGAGAAGCTACTGGCTTGTGCAGAGTGGGGAATAAACTACTTGGGTCATCTGAATCTGGTCGATTAAACTGGTCCGCTCCATTGACTTAAATGCAGTTGCTTCTGGAGCTAGTTCAGGTTTTTCTAATGTACTTTCTTTTCTTTTCATTTTAGTAACTGATTTTTTTTAGCAACACAGTTGTACTATTATGCAGCTATGCAAGTAAAGTATTTACTGCAGTTGTAACAATGAAGAAACAATGTCTGTGATTTCTCTTTGGTTCAGACTGAGACTGCTCAATTCTAGTTTTGACAAACTAAAACTTTTTTTTTTCAATTTACATTTACATGTAAGTTTCTTCCCAGGTTGCTGGTTGCGGCTTTAGCCAGGGCTCCTTTAATAGTTTTGTACGATGTTAATGTAAAATAACCATGAATTAGAGAAACAAACATAAAAGCAAAGATTCAAATTTAGTTTTTGATTTTACAGAGCTGTAAATATACACAGGTTATGTAGACTTGGTGGAAGAACCATGGTCTGGCCTTTTTATTTTCCCCAACCATTGAAATGGCCATAACCTTCAACAACCAATGATACTGAGCCCTGCATCCTGCGCACTTCATAATGACTCATGTTGCCTTGGAAAGTCTGTTTCACTTGGAGCTGTAGCAAATAGCAGGCTAGAGCTTAAATACCCTTAACTGCATTTTACAGCCCAAACTGTACAGATCTGTGATTGAAGATGTGGTCGAAGGTGTTCGGGATCTCTTTGCAGAAGAAGGTGTTGAGGAACAGGTTCTAAAAGACTTGAAGCAGGTTTGTTGGATGATGGTGGCTTTTTTGACTTTGCTCCAAATGCTTTTATTCCTCTGAACACTCTCCCTCACCCAAGAATATGGGCAACTTCTTTTTAATTAAATGGGAACTGCATCTGGTCTCAGAAGGGTGAATTGGACTGCTGTGAATCAGTATCATTTTTGCTGTTGTTGTTTCTTTGATTCCCGTATTCAGATAGCAGGGGATCCTGCTAGGAGGTTAAGAATATCTGGAGAATCTTTAAATGTAGTTACAGGTTATGGTGACTTGAATAATTCTCTTAACTGCTTTGTCACAGCTTTGGGAAACCAAGGTGATGCAGTCTAAAGCAACAGAAGGCTTCTTCAGACATTCACCTCAATTTACCCTACAGTTGCCACCTGGCTTCCATCGCACACTGCAGACATCAACAGGTTGGATCTTGTTTGTGAGGAGAAAAGAGATAATTTTAAGTTCTGTGTTTTCAGTTGAAATATGGATGCTAAGCTAACTTTGGCTCTAACACTGCTATAAATCTAGAGTTACAGGCTATACCATGGTACTCTTCTTTAGTCTAGAAATGTGATGTATCATCTTACAAATTGTACTTACAAAAATGTGGATAGATCTTTTAATTTGTGTGTGTGTGGGGGTGGGGGGGAGGGGGGTTGTTTTAATTCTTCCAGTGTTGAATAAGTCAATTAAAAGAGAGGTGCTTCATATATAACAAAGCTGCTGTTAGTAGGGCAAGGTATTTGCCCTATGCTGGCAGTGCAAAGGGGATGTAAGGCGCCTTCATCAGCACTTGAGGAGTCTCCCAGTGTGAAGGAGTAGAGAAGGGCAGAAGGAGGAAGTAGTATTCCATCATGTAATTAAAGTCAATGTTCAGGGTCTAGTTAGATGGTTCCATTTTGTGGCCTGTTTCAGCTGTGGATCAGCTCCAATGTCTGCTGCTTTATTTTAAAGAAAACTTTGCTTCTAATGCAATAACATTTGAAGACAATTTGAAAATGATATCCAAGCTTCTGTGCAAGTACCCAAATAGAGTGGCTAGAAGTTCAGATTCCCCAGAGAACGAACAGGAAATCATGACTTTTCCATTTTAATGTTCTTTTAGTGTAATGTTTTTGGCTATAATCCTAAATATAGAAAGGTACAGATGTTGTTTTTATCCCTTTGGTTAAAGGGAATAGACTTGTAGACTGCTCACTGTTGGAAGCTTCATTTTTAATGAGCCTGGTTGTGTTACTTCCAATTGCTTTTGTAGGATTAGGCAATACCTATGGTGGTATAGGGTCCATTACAAGTAACATGAGTTCTTAAAGGGGGAAAATAAATAGGTGCTCTGATTGGGATTTTCAAAAGTGGTCAGATAGTTTTGCTAATTCTGCTCTCGTTTAAGCCAGTGAGTTTTGTCATTGACTTCTTTGGGAGCAGTTAAGGCAATGCTGAGTGCTTTTGAAAATCCCATCCTACAGCTTCTGCTGTTAGCACCCTTGGAGCTGCACTGATGCAGAAAATTGCTCACAAATGTTCCTGATGTTGACAAGGCAGTACGCTTGAGATATATGTTCTCAGCTTTGTTTAAAATGGTAGCATTGCACATCTGTCCCTGTAGGTGGTGTAATAAATAGAAATGCCAAATTTAATTTCTGTAGTGCATCTCACTTTGAAAAAACTCTTCATTTAACTCTTCAATCTGCTTAACACAACAAGGTCTTGTGAAGCACAGTAGTTGGTAAAATATAGTTATAAATATTCCAGATTTATGCATTTGCAAAGTACAGCATAGACTTGCTGAGAAGCTAAATAAAGGAAAGTGCATTCAACAATGTTATCCTTTTTTCTTTTTTTTAACCTAAGGAATGCATTTGTCTGCTACAAGCTATGAAGAACCCCTCTCAATTTTGGGGGAAGTGTATGTTAGTAGAAACTACAGTCAGCAGGAAATGGTTGAATAATTGTCAAAGGTGCTTATTTCAATGCCTCTTTGTTTTTTATAATGCGGTTTTTATTTCTGCTTAGCATCTTTAGTTATCCCTGCTGGCAGAGGTATTCAGCACTTCACAACAGCAGACTTGGTATGTAGCTTTAATAGTATTTTATTTCTGCCTTGACAATATTGAACACTCTACATGATACAGTTAAGTTTTTCATTTGTTGAAGTACTTTGTGGGAGGTGGAAATGGAAGATTTTCAATATCTTGATGCTCTAGGACAACACCTGGGCAATTTTCTCTGCCTAATAGCATATCTCTTGACAATTTCTTTCATGTACTATGTGACATATGGTAGACAAGAGGGTAGGAGTCTTTGCTGGGAGAGTGTTAGCAACATCTGCAGAATCTAAGCTTTTATTTAAAAAGGTTTTTAGCCTTTATGGCTGTGATGAAAACCTTCCAAATATCAGTGATATAGTGATGTCTGAGTCTTCAAAATGATGGTTCCAATGCCACAAACTATATCTAAGGGGGAAAAGGGGGGTAGATATTTGATTGCTCTAACAGCAAGACAGTTGGGAAGGGCAGGAGAAGTGATGACTCCTAGTTTTAAAGTGAGCTACTGTGTGCCCATTGCTTCAAAAAAAAAGGGGGGTCTGCTTGGGGAGGCTCAGTTGTTGGTGGGTGGGTGGGTCTGTGTGGGTAGAGGTGGAATGCTTACTTGGGTGGTGGTGCAGCTGCCTTGTAATAATACATTGCTGGGGAGAGACAGCAGGCATTGGTTTGATATTTGCTTCTTGGGGCACTCTTAATAGAAGGCCAAAGTGTTTGTGCAAGTGGAAGCCCAAGGTGTGGGGGGATCAAAAATTGGGGATAATCAACCAGCAGAAGGGGTTTTGTTTTTGAGCCAAGTGTCCCTTTACCTGCCAGGTAGAATGAGCCTGTCAGTCTAGAGATTCAGTAAATTTTTCAAGCCTAGGGAATAGTAAGGAAGGAGGTTAAGAGAATGTTTGCTGAAACTGAAATTTTCCAAATTTCTTCTTGCATTTCCCAAAAATAGCTCCCAGATCTCCTGGCTTACCTTTCCTACTCCTTCTTGTTGGGAAGCAATATTTGATGATATTACAGGCACGTACAAAGGGGTTGTAGTACAGAGCTTGGAGTGTTTGTGTGTAGGTACCTACCTAAATCATGGTGGAAGTTCGTGGCGCAGCAGTGCCTTTTAATCTTATTCTTGCTTTTAATCTCACTCTTTTTGCTGTGCAATGCTGCCCCCCCCCCCCCCCCCCCGGGCCTGCTGTGTGCCCAAGAGGCAAAAACTGTGGTGTTAATTGTCTCTCAGCCACTCAGCAGCAGGGACGCATGACTAAGAATAAGATTTAAAGGTGCCACTACACTGCAAACTTCCAGTGCGATAGAGATAGGTCCCTATATTATGTGCAGTTGAGTTGTGTTGAGGCTCTTAGTACTGGGTATTGTTGGTTCTGTTGCTTGTGTTGTTGGAGATCCTCAATTTCAGTCCATCACACTTGGAGATCCAGTATGAGCTAGAAAGGGAAGGGGCATACATTTGATAGCACTGGAGCAGTTGAAGTCCCCAGGACAAGTCTTATTGTTGCAATACTTCAAGACAACATGCTGAAGATGGCATGTCTCTTAAAGACCAACTCAGCTTTTCAACAGAGAAAGAGAATGGAGAAAAGCCATAAGTGGGATCTCTGTAGATGCATATTGTTAGGTGTGACTTGGCCTCAAGACAGAGCAGGGGTGACTGCTGCCTCCTGAGCTGTGGGTGGGCCTGGGGGCAGGCTCATACCTACTTCTATACTTCTGTGCTGTGGCTTAGTGCCCCCTTCAACACACTGCCGGCCCGTGCAGCAAAAATACTGCCCCGTCCTGAGCAGTGCTGAGTCGGGGGCCAGTCTTGGGGGGGGACAAGTGCCCCCCCCCCCCAAGTCACCTGTGAGACAGTACACAATATAACCGAACTTCCCTCTTCACTGTCTATGTTAGGGTGCTTCACAAGCCAGTGCAACTCTCACTCTCCCTTCGGGCATTGCATATCCTATCCATGTCCCAGCAGGAGTGACACTACAGACTGCTTCTGGTAAGGTGATAAAAGGCTGTCTTAACCCTTAGTGATAGCATATTTACTGTATACAAGGATTAGAAGACTGCAGCAACTTTATGGGAAGTATAGTGGATACCCAAGTAGGTAGTATGCACACATGAGCATGGACATTTGGTTCCCTAGGGACAACTAGCAGCAGGACACCTTGTGCCACTGCTAGTTGTCCCTGGTGCGTGGCATACTACCCCAGATGGGGTAGGGGAGGCTGGGGCCAGCACTGTGCTGGCCTAGCAGCCTTACCTGGGGTTCAGGGGGTCTCCTGAGGCTGCAGTAGCAGCCATCCTGTCACTTGGAGCCTGGCTGGCAGCTGAAGTGTGGCTCTGGCTGGCCAGGCTCTGGTTTTGAGCCCACTTTCTTTTGTGCAGGGTTGGTTTTTTGGGGTGTTTTTTTGACCCCTAGGTATGCAGGGGTCAAAAAACCTTCTATGCTGCTACCTTGCAGCGTGGAAAACAGCTGAATGTGCAGTATGTGGCACCTCATACTGCACAGCCACACTCATCTGGATGTGGCCATGGAGTATAGGTCGTTAAAAGAGATGATTTTCTTTCTGTTCTCTGTCTAGTTTGAGCTTGCTACAGCATGGAGTAACGAATGAGACCTGATCCTTTACAGCTAGGTTATCCAACTTGGATGTGGGGGGTGCATATGATGTGCCTGCCACAGACCTGGGCTTTTTCCCCTTGCTATGTGAGCAGTCCAGTTCTCTATCTCTTCTCTGGAATACAGGCAGAATGAGCAGCCCAGATGCTCTGGCTGCCCTGAGTCTTCCAGTCACATATGCAGTGCAAGTAGCCCAGGTGTCCCTGCTATAATCAGTCTGGGTCTTCCAGTTGCAGGATTAAATGAAACCAGGAATGGTTTTGGTGTCTGAATTCTAGCAAGCAGGTGGTCATCAGCTTAACCCCTGACAGAGAACTTTAACAGTGCAATTTAATGCTTCTCTTTTGTAGGCCAAATCTATAAAGTAAATATGCCGGTTATGGTTACACAGGCCCCAGGAGGTGCAAGTATTCTGCAGCATCCTATTCAGCAAATCTTTCAGCAACTTGGGCAGTCTTCAGTCTTGCAGGCCAATATTACCAGTGTTGCACAGTTGAACACATCTTCTGTTCAAGCAGCTGCTGAAAAAGTGCAGACCCAAGACATCCCACTCCAACAGACCACTGTTCTGCAGCAAGGCACAATAGAAAGGAAACAACTAGAAAATTCTGCAAATGCTACTTTGGAACAGCAGCCTCCTCAGAGTCAGCAGCAAGTTACAGCTAGCACCATGTTAAATCAGCAGGCAAGCTCAATGGAAAAATCTCCAAACTCTGATCTGCACACAGCTGTGTTTACTTCAGAATCTACTGAAGTGGATTCTACTACTCAATTGGTGGCGGACAACACATTTCCCATACCTCAGGATATGGAAGGGCAGGTATCTCCGGTGTGCCAGGATTCAGTGCAACCGCAGGTGTCTGATGATATCATTGAGCTGATTATTATGGGTAATGGCTTGGATGATAACCCCCTTCTAAAGGATCAGGACAACATTTCCAGCATTGAAGAGGTATGACCTTTTATTGAATGAATTACAACTTTGTGAAAATTCTGTATAGTTGACTGAAGTAGATACCACATTTTACCCAAATCCACAATGACTTCATATTTTAAGATGACTCCCCAGTTGTTAGTTTCTAGACATGGAAAATCATAATTTTTTTTGTTTTTAATTTTTTTTCATGTCCAGAATCTAATGAAGGGTCATCTTTAATTCATACCCCCTTATTCCCCTCCCCCCCGCCCGAGGGAAAGCAAAGTAGTGTCAGGGAA